TCATAGACAAACATTGTTTCGACAAGAACAGGGCCATGATCCATAGATTAGACGACTTTAACAGCCTTAGAAACCCCTCACCTTGATCACTATACTCCGCAAGATGAGCATAACAACGCCAAGATTGCAAAGCCACACCCGTCATACTGTAAACGCTCCATTCCCCGGGTATGCATACACCCTTTCCCCGCCCACCGGGAAGCAATCATCGTAACTTGCATGAGCGCACCTCATACAAGGAAAAAACTGAACAGGTCTAGAGCCTACATCAACACCAAGTCATCTATTTATAGGGTTTTAAGTTGATGTAGGCTGCAGGCCTGTTCAGCTTTTTTCTTGGTTGGCGTGAGCGCAGCGTCAAAGGATCCCTAAAGCGCCTCTGACCTCAGCCCAGAAAGGAGGCTTGGGGTGGAAAATGCTTGTACATCGTGGCCTCACGCCACGCCAAGGCAAGCCACAACTGCCCTGCCGTGACGTGTGCCATGCCTCCTAGTAGCAAGCCGTTGGCGCCTGCAGCGGAGGAATCGACCGATGGCACAAGGCAAGTAGGTTTATTCGAAGATCTGCAATGCGGGAGATGATTGTAATGTAGACTCCGGCTGTGCGAAGAGTGCAGGTTGTCATGTTGGAGGGAATTGGGGTACGGGGAAGGATGATTGGGAAAGGGGACACGCGATGAATCAGACGGCAATGCATCGCATCGCGACATTGTATTCAAGCTATTCAATAATGGGTATTCGAAATGATATTAAAAAGAATACATGTTCGTCATGGGCGGTACACGTGGTTTACGCGTATCTGATCCCATGCGGTGGTCATCAACTTCGGCGCATTCAATGCTGATCCATGATAACTTATTCCCGTGTTATCATCCCCATGCATCAAACATCGACTCGTGGGTATGTTAGTGCATTCTATGCACTGCCTTATGCCGTGTGGCCGGCATCGGCACGGGCAGCTGAGTTGTCGACCTTGTTGCGACGCTCGCGGCCCTTCTCAGACCAGGGGAAGTGAGCAACGGGAATGACGAAGAAGCTGTAGAAGATTAGTACGGATTGAGACGATGGTAATGGCACTGAGTACTAACCTGTTCGAGCTGTCCGCGATACCAGCCAGGGCGTTGTACCAGGCGATGAAAGCAGCCATGAGACCAAAAGCACCACCAGCGACGATGCAGTCGCTTTGTGGTCCCGCAGCATCAGCGTTGAGGTAGCCAATTCCGAGGAGGAGGAAAGCCATGTCGAGAGTGAAGAAGAGCGAGAAGAAGGCGATGGTGGATCGGAGGGTGCAGATCAACAAGAGGAAGGTAAAGATGAACCAGCCCATGAGGAAGAGGCCGAAAGAGTTGTAGAAGTCGCCCGATTCCAGGAGCGTCTCCTCAATCGCGAATCCACCTGGTGTAAGGATGATAGCGAAGGAGATCCAGAAACCTCCGTAGGATGAAAGAGCGGTCGCACCAAATGTGTTTCCGACAGCCATTTCCCTAGTCTTCTGTTAAGACGCGTATGGACAAATTGACTGATAATACATACCACATGCCAGCCAACAGCTGCACGAGACCTCCATAACCGTACGCAGCAGCCACGACAATGTTTGGGTGACCAATGCCTCGGGTCTTGACGTTGATCAAAGACAGAACAAAGGTGGTGAGGGCGAAAGCCGACAGACCCAGAGGGGCTGGGTTGGCGAACTTGCGGTTCGGCGGCCTGTATAGACCAGGCTGGAATTCACCACCAAAAGCTGCGAGACGGAGATCTGGGTCGTTGGTAGCAACGTGGGCGAGAGGGTTGCCGCCATAGTCGTATGGTACCCTTTGCTTGGGCATTCCTGCACCGTTGACTGCCGCGTGATCGGTCGCGCTGGTGCCGTTGGTGTTCTTCTCGAAACTCGGGCCACGCTATCAAGACAGTTAGATTTGGTACACATGTTTGGCGCATTCGAGAAACATACCATGGTGTCGTTGTGCTCACGAGCGGTCGCCATGATGTCTGCTATGATTGACAGGTGCTTGACGTGTTCCGGTCCGGACTAACTCAAGACGGGTTCAACGGGGGGAGAGTCTGGGGAAGGAGAAGTCAAGCCGATTCTGGGGGAGCGGAGAGACTGATATATGTCCAGAACAGATCAGGCCTCGCAGGGGAAGCATGGTCCATCTACGTGTGCCATGAGCCGTCGTCCCATACTGGTGCTAGTCCCGCGACTAAGGCTAGGTAATTAGAATTCCAAACAGGTGCTAAAGCGGACCACTCATGGCAGTTCCCCATAGACGCCTCTCCATGCCGGGTAAAAGGACAGCATGCGTCTCCACTGCGAATCAATCAACTGAGGGCACGGTGGACGGACGAACGACAATCAGTCGACCCCAAGCCACCATGCGCCGTGTGATCGGCGCCAAAGCTGCCTTAGCGAGGCCGGATGGACACCGACAATGAGGATGGAAGGTGGTGCGCCAACCGATCCAGCAGTATTCTGTCTTGCTCAGGCGGGCTCAGCTGCCGCGATGACGCGGAGAAATAAGATGCGCTGCTCGAATTCCCAAGTACAGATCGCCGACCAAGTCCCAAGCATTACATCATCGTCTCTTGTGACCATGACACATCAGCTTCCTTCGAGTGTTTTGATCGCGAACACGGCAGAAGGAGCCTGGGATTTCGAAACTTCGTATAACGCACAGACCGCTATCGATCTCTGCATGTTAGCGGTCTGACTGCATGTTTACCCTTGAGGAGGGCCCCCTGCGAGAAACGTGTGTGGGAGTGGAGCTCCAGTCAGTGCGCCAACGCTCAATTTGCTCGGAGTAGTTAAAACGCGAGGTCGGGCGTTCTGACATGTACGCGAGCCTCCCAGGTGCATTCTGCCCGTTGGACTGGGATGCCGGATATCGCGGGTGCGATATGGTGACACGATATATCAACGCAGCTCCTCCTTTGGCCTTCGCGCGGTTGTTGGAGGATGCCTCAGTTGGCATTGCACTGCAAACAGGCACACGGCGTCCTGTTGGTGTAGAAGCAATTTACTGGGGCGTGCTTTGAAATTCAAGATCGTCAAAGGCCGCGGAGGAAACGGGATGATGGCCTTGTGCATGAGGTAAGGCGGCTAAGCTTTGTCCAAGAGCCTCGGCATAAGCCACCGGCATGTTCCAATATCATGACATAACGAAACTCTAGCAAAGGCTGCGAAAATGCGCCGTCGCAACGGCTCGCGCAGTCGCCGAATATTTGAATTGGAAGTGCGTTCTGGAGAAACGACGAACACAAAAAGTCTGTCCATCAATTGTGGGATCGATAGTGCTAGCGTAGCGTGCTGCCGCCATGTCCTGGCCGTCCGGGGCTGCGTGGGGCCCCCTAGTGGAGCAGCAGCTCACCACCCATCCTAGAGGTGCGGTTGAGACGCAGGTTGGCTGTTGCACGTCCTCGGTCCAGCGGGAACACATGTCAAATCATTTCCACCTGCACCCTGCCGTTCCGTGTCTGCTGTGTCCGCGACAGGAGTGGTGTGTATGCCAGGCGTGGCGGTTGATGCCGTCTCAGAGCCTTTTGCTGTTCCGGCAAGGTACAAATGAATTGTCCTCGCAGTGCCTTCATTGTCAAAGATAGCTGAGGTCGCGCGAGAGGATGAAAACAAAGGTCCAAGAACATCGATGTGTAAGAGCTTCCACGACAACGGATCACTCCAGGCATCCATGTCAATTGCGTGAGACAGTGAGATGGCGCAATTGCGTGGCACTTTAGGCTAATGAAGCACTGTAAAGGTGCATCTGTAATGTTTGTGGTGGCATTGCTTGGAGTGCTTCAAGAAAAAACTGAACAGGTCTAGAGCCTACATCGACGCCGGGTCACCTATCTTGTAGGTTCTTATATTGATGTAGGCGGCGGGTCTGTTCGGTTTTTTTCTTGTTTGACTTTTGTCAATAACATGCTCCAGCAATGATCAGGCTCTGCTCTCATTGTGAAACCCGCATGTACTACAGACATGCATATTGTACAAGCTCTCTAGAATAGTAATCATTTTGCCTGATACATAGAGTGCGTTCTATTGCTTGTGATTAATGTTGGGTGTTCCGAGCTTCGCGACAATATTGATCTAGGTATACCGCCGTCGAGGCGCGTTGTGGTACCTGCATGAAACAAGCAAGCTCCTCGTGTATTGCACGAGACAAGAGAAAGGCCGGTCTTTCCATAAGCCGCATCCACACGACAGACAGTTAACGAGTGCTGATATGTCATGCCTATGTTTGCCTGAGGTGATCGGCTACGGTCCCGCCGCACTGCCAGAAGGTTTCGGAGACGAGGAAGAAGGGTCCACCCAGATTGTGGAGAGACAAGATCTGGGGACTCCACTTCGACCCTGCGTAAGAGCGTGCCAGGAGTCAGGAGAGTCTGGGAAAGCGGAAAGACAGTCTGGTTACCCGCCAGTTACCGAGGGGCCAAGTGGTTTCCGCGGTCCTCCGGCACGCTGCTATCCATACACCGGCCGGGAGTCGCGGGTGTCTTTTTGCCGAGAAGTGGCGAGTCTCAGTATCCATTCCCAGTAGCCATCAAGTAACTTGACATGCGTATGTGTGGAGAGGTACATAAGTCCAATGCTGTTTGTCGTTGTTGATTTTTGGCTAAAGCAGCAGCGAGCCTTGGAGGCTCCAAGGCTGACCATAACCATACACCTCAAGCTGTCTGGCTGACGCCAACTTACCTATGACGTTTTTGTGGTTGCTAGACAACTATTACGCCTCGAAGCATGGCTTTTGAGGTCGAAAAGACGAGAGGACGTCGCAACAAAGAGGACATGGGCAGAGAGGTGGCGTTTCTTGTCCCTCTTTGCCGGCTTGTCACCTGCTTGGCGCATCTCGCTACCAACACAGACACCGGCAAGCAAAGGAGGGCCGAATGCGGTGTCAAAGTTACCGAGCGCGTTATCGCGAACATCAAGTCGCGCCTTGAAGCTGGTGCGCGATGTTTGGTTTGGTGGTGAGGCGCGTCTCCGGGCGGAAAGCTGGCTACGTAATGGGTTGGCGATCGATAGGTAGCGCGGGGAAGCTTGGAGCTTGGATGCTACTCGGGGTTTAGGCAGACACATGCTCGACGCGTGCCCAGGTGAGGGAGTTATAACCTGAACACGCCAAATCATTCACATCGCACACAGTCTGTCCTGCCCATCATGTCCGACAACACGACGTCCCAGGAGGACATGGCCGCCCTCTCCTACTTCGACCACTCGTCGGGCAAGCGCATCAACACCGATGTCGTCCTCATCGAGGCAATCCGATCGCAGTACCCCAACCTCGACCTCACCGTCGCGCCCCAGGGACGGCTGAACCTCCTCGCATACGCATCCGCTGGCTTCGCAAAAGTCACGCCCCTCGAAGACTCGGTCACAGATCCCGTCTACGGCCCTGGAGTCAAGTGGCGCTCCTATGCTCCCCCAAGCCACAGGCTCGACCCCAGTCCTGGATACATGGTCGAACGTGTCATCTTTGGCAAGTACATGTACAAGTGGAAAGACCAGGAGGCGATTCTATACATTGCCGAAGGTCGCGACGGAGGGTCGTATTACCCAAGCCCGACGCTGCACTATGTCCTCTCCAACGCGTCGCACAAGGTGGATGAGTTGATCAAGGACGCGACAAAGTGGGGTAGCGAACTGCACAACGAGGTCTGGGTCTTTGACGGTGGCTACTGGCAGAAGAGCGCGGAGCTGTACCGTTCTGTACAGAAGAGTACATGGGACTCCGTCATCCTCGACGAGGACATGAAGAAGGCGCTCATCGCAGATGTGGAGAACTTCTTCGATGGCAGACAGACATACGAAGACCTGAAGGTGCCATGGAAGCGCGGTGTCATCTACTACGGACCCCCCGGAAACGGCAAGACCATCAGCATCAAGGCCATGATGCACAGCCTTTACCAGCGCGGCAAGGAAGGCGACTCCAGACTCGCCGTCCCCACTCTCTACGTCCGCACCCTGACCTCTTTCGGTGGACCTGAGTACTCGTTAGCGCAGATCTTTGGCAAAGCTCGCGAGCAGGCGCCCTGCTACCTTGTCTTTGAGGATCTGGATTCAATCGTCAGCGACCATGTGCGATCATACTTCCTCAATGAGGTAGATGGTCTAAAGTCGAATGACGGCATCTTGATGGTCGGTTCCACAAACCACCTGGACAGGCTGGACCCAGGGATTGCAAAGAGGCCTAGCCGCTTCGATCGCAAGTACTACTTCCCAAACCCTGACTATGATCAGCGCATGCAATACGCAAAGTTCTGGCAGGGAAAGCTCAAAGACAACAAGGATCTCGACTTCCCCGACGAGCTCTGTGGAAAGATTGCCGAGATTACGCCCAAGTTCTCTTTTGCCTACATGCAGGAGGCTTTCGTTGCGTCGCTCCTTGCTATTGCCGCGCGGGGTGGTAAGAGCGTCGAGGAGGCCGACCACGATGCAGAGAGGTGGGCAGGCCCCCAGGATCCGATGAAATCGACCACCGGCACTCTGCATACCAACTTCGCACGGAGACTGCCCTTTGGCGACATATACGACCCTGCTTCGGAGCCAGACTCTGATCTTGACAAGCTAGAGCTGTGGCAAGAGATGAAGAAGCAGGTCAAGATCCTGCGCGAGGAGATGGATGAGAAGAACCGCAAAAATGATTGGGAACTGCCTAGTCGGTCAAAGGCAGCGACTCTTCGACCAAACCCGACTCAGTTCAGAGATGAGTTGGACGCCATTCTGCATGGAGGTGAAGAGAGACGTCCCAAACATCCGCACCCAGAATTCGAGTACCTAGCCAGTCAGACTAGGTTTGAGTAGCGACCGCTTAGTCGGTATTACACAGGACAGTAAGGCGTTTTGGCGTGACAGTAGCTAGCTTTTAGCCTATCATGAAATATCCACAAAGAATTAGCGATTCATAGAGTTGACTGGGACTATATGTTACAACAACAACAACCTTGAGCAATACCCTTTTGGTGTACTTCCATGTTCTCTACCGCGATGTACAATTGCCTCTCTGATTGGTAACAGTGCAACGAACATCTAATCGCCATGGGTAGCCGCCTCCTCCATAGCCAGCACGGCATTCTCCAGCTCCCTAATCCTCTGCCCCACCCTCCTCTTCACTTCATCTGCGACCGGCCTATCCTCACCTTCAACAACCCCTTTGTAGTACTCGAGCAACCTATCCAGCTCTTCCCTCGCTGCAGCCCGGTCGTCAGGCGCATACGTTGTGTTCTTCTCGCTCTCCTCAGACGCGATCTCAAACTCGTCTTTGGCCGTGCCGTAGAGTTCTTGTATCTCCTCGATCGCTTCCTCCACCGCTTGTTGAGCTTCTGGAGATAGCGAGGATGGGGCTGACGACGTGGCGGATGCAAATTTAGCGCGTGGCGTTGAAGTGAATGTGCGGACGGCGGAGAGGGTGTTGTAGGGTGTGGTGAAGCGCGTCCATTGGTTTGGCGCTGCTAGGATGGATGTGTTGCGTGCTTGGTATGGTGGAGGTGGGGACGGCGACCGTGAGCGCTGTTGTGTGTAGGTTTGGTAGGAGAACTGTTGCGTGGCCGGGTAGGACGTCCGTTGCGCTGCTATTGCGCTTGCACGGAGCGTCGTCTGGCGGAGGAGAGTGCGGATGGGCGCGGCGCCGGATGCCATCTTCGGGGAGGACTGTCTGTGGTACGTGGCGCGAAATTGGCGCGGGACGGAGCGTTGGGCTACATTGCGCAGCGAAGGCGCTTTGGTGAAGAGCGTGTGCGACATTGTGGGTGGTGGATGGTGGGTTGGTGAGATGGGGCTGTGGTGAGCCTGAGGTTCACCGGAGTTAAGCCTGTCATGCGGACATGACGGTACCACCCAACACCATTCTTTTACTACCCATCCATAGGTACCTCGGGTTTCTTGACAGTATGTTGAGATCCAGAAGTTTACATCACTATCAGATTTTACGAGTGTCTCGTATGATGCGGTCGTCGACTGCAAATCCGAATCATACTCTATAAAGCTGAGAGATGCTACACGGCTACGACGTGGTATAGAATTACAGATCTAGGTAAGTAGTTTCTACGCGTGGAGACACAAAACATTTGAGTATATGTAAACAAGAGGTTCCCGTGTCACGTAGAAGAAATGGCAAGTGTGGCAGCTTCCTCTATAGTAATGGTCATCGCGAATTGGACCGCGAAGCATGCTCTCACTCCCATGACACAATGTATCTATGTATATCTCTGAGAGACAAGGTTCCCGTACCGCACATAGCACTGGTCTACGGGCAAACCTAGGATGATAGCACGATGGAGCTTGTTACTTAGAGTGCATCCCAAGTACGCCGGTATACTACATCCTGGAGCTACACACACTGCATTTTGCTTTGACGAGCACAAGATCTAATACAGTTGGCATCTCTAAAATATAGAACACAGCTTGCTGATAACAACGTATTCTGTGTAGAGTGTGCAAGAAACAAAAGAAACCAACGGTGAGCAAAAAAGAAGTCTTGAAGGTCGTGCCCGGGTTCTTCTCAACGTTAGGAACAAGTCTTGTGATCACAGCAGAGGAAATGTCTTACCGAACCGGGGTTATCAGAATATTGATGAAGTCAAAATCTGAAGTGATAACCACTACCTAGAATCGAATGAGCGCATGCTCCATGATGTTACGATAGTGGATCAACGTACACTACACAACCTGTGGATGCTTCAAATGGTGCAATATGACAAGTTTCCCCGTTACATCGTTTATAAAGCAACCAACGTGCTACTCAGGCTGCACTCGATTAATCCGACGTTTTCGTCTGTATCATTTTTAAACGAACAGCTCCCCCGTCAAGAAGCATGACGCCTAGACTTGAACAAGCCCACAAAGTGGTGGGGCATCATGTTCGCAAAGTCAAAAAAGAGGGGTCCAAGTCACCGATTTCGGCAAACTTCTCACAACTGTCCAGAACGCCAGGGACGACGTACAGATTATAGACAAAGTACAAATTATGCAGTATATGCGCGTAACCATTGGATTCAAGCGAGGGCAGAATTGACCCAGGGCAAGAGGGGTTGTTCCACTTGTTGGTGATGGCAAAATTGCAAAAAGTGGAGTCCACAACCACACACGTCTAGGACAGCTGTAGAAGCACTCTAAAAAGCCAAAAAGAATGATGCAATAGCTCATACGAGCGGGGAGGATCGAACTCCCGACCTTCTGCGTAACTTTACATTTAGAATGTAAAGCAGACATCATAACCACTAGTGAAACGTTAGAAAGGCATTAGAGAGTTGGATGAGGGAACGAACCTAGACTACGCTCGCTTGAGAGACGATTGATGGAAAAACTTCAATTTAATGCGTGAATATACAGTAGACCACATCCCTGGAGCTGCTGACTGGGTCATCAGGCGAACGCAGCCCATGCGCGGGACTGAAGAATGGCGGCAGCGGGGTTGGTGGGGTCAGTGTCAAATTCGCTTCTTTGCAATTCGTCGTAATGTCCGCCTTATACGAGGAAGAAACTGAAACGCTACTCTACTGTCTACATTACCTTATGGAGTATATGGACTTTAACCTCTACAGTAATGTAAACAGTAGAGTATCTGTTTAGTCAAAGTTTACACACTCCCAAAGGCAATGTAGACAGCAAATAATCTAATTAGTCAAAGTGCATGTATTCTCTACGGCAATGTAGACAGCAGAGTGGCTATTTAGTTAAGGTTTGTATATCCCATGAGAAAATGTAGACAGTAAAGCAGCTGTTCAATTTCTTCCTTGTATAAGGTATGTCCAAGTACATGCTACCTAGATACCACGCTCTCGCTTTGTGAACATGTGTTACTCACACTACTTCTCGTTCTCTAGAGCTAGAGCTTGTTGTTCTCACACCACCTGCACCAATGCCGCGGCACTTATTGCCGCTTTCCACAAAACTCAAACCAGACCGCGGAGGTACTCATTGTCTTGAGCCTGGGAAGCTTTATGTAGAACAATAGAGACGGTGATGAACTGTCATGTATCTTGTATTATGCTTTACTTGAAACTCGGTCAAGTCTGAGAGATTTCTGCACATGTGCAGAGATAGATCGTGCAGAATTTGTATCATATGTTTGGCTAGAATTAATGACGAATATGAAAGGGGTATACTACCGTTATCTGGCCAGCGCGTGAACCCATTGCTGACACCTGTACGCCTCGCTATACAACAATGCTAAGGAACCTATGCTGCCCACAATGACCGTGCTATGCACCATCCAACTACCTTCACACTCCACTCTTACCACCACCGCCTCAAATTCCTTCCACTGGTCGCGCACTGCAGGCAATGCCTCGTCGATGACACAACCGCACAAGTCTCACATACATTTCGCCCACAGTCGCTGCATGCAAAAGGACTATGCGCCACAGCTCCGCCCATGTCCATATCCATGTCTACATCCATCTCGTCTCGCTCACCATGTAATGGTGTATCGCAGTCTTCGCATCGGGGCACTTGTGAGGAAGCTTGGTCCTGCTGTACAGGCATTGAGAAGATGGGTTGAACAGGCGGCGCGGGTAGCTGTTTCCAGAAAGAATGCAGCGTAGACTTTTGTGGTTTCGACGAGGCCAAAGTTGATGGCTGGTGTGTTGGAAGAGCGTCGGACGGGATGGGCGCGGCCTCTGGATGTTCACGTTGCGCGGCGAAGAGCATGTTCAGCGTGTTTTCTGGGATACGATTAGCAACTAGAAGCTCGAATCACCGAGTCAATAAGCCTTACTGTGTATCGCTTGCTCGTCGGGTCTGTTGTCGCGAACCCGCTTCTGTGTGCGGTTGCCCCAATCGTTGCTCTTGACTCGACTCGCGCTTATGAAGTCCCAGCCATTGGATCTCGAGGTCGCATGTGCATGTGTATCCATCATCTTGTCATAGCCCTTGGTGAAAGACATGGGCGATTGCGCATCCGGTGTGGAGACGGCGCCGAAGCTGGAGATGGAGAGCGGCGAGTCGTCGGAGGAGTGCTTGCGCTTGAGGCCCATGGCTGCGGATTGAAGTGTTGACGGGTTGCGATGAATGACGGGGTATTATTCGTGGTGCTTGCAAGGCGGCGAATGTTTGTTTACGGGTTCGTAGAGCGATATGCGAAAGGAGAGCGAGATGGGATGAAACGGGGAGTGATGATGCTAAGTGGCTGGCCTGGGAGACGCGAATTGTCGGCGCGAGCGCGTCGCGTGATGGCGTGTCGGGATCGCAATTGCATCAATACCCTCCGACCGGGCACCTGGGCAACATCACCGAACATCCACACGTGACCTGCTGTACAATCGTTGCAGCAGGCGTCATGGAGCATGGCTTGGTGGGCTTTTGTATCTGGCGTCTAGAGATGTCCCTTGCACATTCCCAGCAGGCGATGATGGCAGGTAAAGGCATTACGTCGGCTGTACGAAGGTCGCGCTCAGCTTACCCCACTGCCCCTCACGCTCCCAACACCAACTACTCGATACAACGCCACGATACCAGCTCCCAAGATCTCTAGCAGCGCATCCCGCTCCGTCGCACAATACCCGAAACCCACCATGGTCACCCGCAAAGCCACCCACGCCGGCTCCTGGTATACGGACAACAAGCAGCTCCTATCGCAGCAACTCGACGGCTGGCTCGCAGACGTTCCCGCTACCACCACGCCTATCGGCTCCGTTTCCTCACAGCAGGGCCAAGTCTCAATACCGACGCCGGATGCGCGAGCCATCATCGCCCCGTAGGCTCCCTGAAGAAGCTATAGAGAACATGAGGCTCATGGACATGCAGGCATGCCGGATACTCGTACTCAGGGCCTGCTGCTGCATGGGCCTACAAGAGCGCTGACT